TTTCTTCGGTTCTCCGACCGGTATTTTCGGGGCGTCTTCTACGGGGACTTCTCGATGCTCCAGTACGGACTGCATCGCTTCTGGGTGGGGCTCAATCTTCTCGTGGGTGGTTCTCCTCTCTTCCCCCCAGGCTTTCCAATCGGCCATCAGCTCTTTGTGTCTGGCTTCCGCCTTGGCCTCGTCAGCTTTTCTATCTTCTCGCATGGCTAGCAGGAGTTCCATTATCTGCTGCATTTCCATTTCCATTTTTGTTGTTGTTGTTGTTGTTGTTGTTGTAGGACGTGATATAAAGTTCGAAATCACTTCTGACACCAATGTGGCGTGTCTTGAGTTCGAATCCTGTCAGTCACGTGTGTAAGTCCTATCCCACTTCTGACACCAATGTAGCGTGTTTCGTGTGTCACGCTACAGATCCTACAGATAGATTCACGTAGGCCTCAAATTAAGTAGAACCTTTATTGTTCTTCCGCTTACACAATCACAAGTACAATTACTGTTCACTGTAACCCCTCAACTGTTTTCTGCGGCGGATGTTCCACGAGACTCTACTTCGAAGGCTGGATAAAGGCTAACTTCTCCGAAGGCTTGATGACGGCTGGCTTCTTAGCTGGCTCGATGAAGACTGAAGACTTCTCGTCGAAACTGGGCTTTTATAACCTTGGCCGCTGTTAGGCAACGAACCCTTTGTTATAACCATGGAGACTCCTGTTAAAACTACAATGGAGCAATTGTTGTCTCCTCTGTAACGGTCTATTGTAGCGTTTCCATAGCAGTGACTCTTCTGGATCGCAAACACGTTACAATATTTTTTGTAATTATTATATTTAATTGTTATATTGGACTATTGTCTATATCCTGAGTCTTATTACCTTGTAAAGGACTTTTGACATGTAAATAAATGATAATGATAATGATACATACAATATCATTAGAATGTCACGAATATAAAATCCAATCAATTAACAACTACAGCAATGTGCATGAATATTGTCGCGTATTGGGGGTATAACGCGACAAATAACTTCACGATGTATTTGATGTAGCGAATTTTATTTCACATTCGCACTTACAATCACCCAAATTACAGATTTACGATTACTGCTATCTGCAGTATCACAATTAGTACACTCCAAATGCCAGAATACAACTGACTTGTTGCTGGCTAACTCGGAACTAACTCGGAGGTAGCTCGAGGACTGACTCGGCGGTAGCTCCAGGACTGACTCGTAGGTAGCTCCAGGACTCCCTGTGAATAGCCTTCGCTGCGCCTCATGTAGCCTCGATCGGACAATGCAGAAAACGGCCACGTAATAAGCACCCTTGTTGCCTGGCGCTGTGTTGCTAGTAATGCTAGCGGTAGTAACCGCTGTTACCACCGTCGTCTATCGCAATCCTGTTTACCCGTGCTGCCTAGCAACCGCGGTGCACCTTGGTGACGTCATCGCTGTTGACTCGCGTTGCCTAGCGACCAGGATGCTAGGACTCGGCTAACTTCGGCTCACTTCGGCTTCGCTCGGCGCATCACGGCTGGCGAGGGGGGGGCGTCATCCATAGCTCAACATGTCACAATATATTAAAATATTTATAAATTACAATAAATAATTTAATTACAAGTGTGGTTTAGAAAGACTTTGTTAAAATTTAGAACCAATTTGGTTTGTGTCCATTATACTGCCTCTCTTTAAAGAAAGCTGAGTGTCCACCACTTCGTGGGTCCGTTGTTTGATAAATAGGACTCTTGAGTGTCCTCCTGTTGTTTGTGCTGCGCTGACATTGTAATGATATTGTATCTATGTATTGATATTGACCAATCACATTGTAATAGTAGTTTCCGCTTGTATTGATATGTCCTTCTGAAGATGGTCTCTCAGACCGAAACATGTCAAGGACAAAAGAGTAAAAAGGAAAGGAAAAAACATTTATCAGTCATGCTGCATGGAGCTGTTAACCTTCTATAATAACCTGAATATTAAAGTTTTAATATTGGTTTGTAATTAACTGTTGTGCTGACGGCCCCTTTGATATGTGATACGCAACATAATACAGAAAATAAAAAGGTTTTTATATTACATTCTGTATCACTGCATCACTATTCAGAACATGTATACATTGGTCATATATGATCACATGCTTATTCAAACATTCACATTCTCCACTAGAGACTTCATTTACCCACAATCCACTTCTTTTTAATGACATGCTTTCTGTACCTAGCCTATATAGCATCAGATGGTAGAATGTGACTAATAAATGAGGCACTATCCCAGCATTTCCCTGGAGGGGCTGAGGAAAACCATGAGAAAGTCAGGATAGTTGGAGTCCTGGCTAAGACCTGAAATGAGTACTTCCAAGATAGAAGTCTGGAGCATTATCTCTAGAAAAGGGGCTCTCAAACTATGTGATACAATGACCCCCCTAAAATAATACATGAATTTATGTGAACCCCACTGTGCCAGTGAGGATGAAGTTGCTGCAACAGGGAACTTGGGTAGCTGTATAGCCTCTCTGTACCTACAGACACATTACTGCTGGCAGATGCACCTGCTCACAAACTCAGTGTGTGCTACACTCTGTAGGCTAACACAGATGTACATATTATCATAAAAGAGACAACCCTGACAATGGCCTAAGAGCTGAAACATGGGCTTTTTGTGCATAGGCATGTCATGATTATGATCAGTGTATTTTGATGCTTCTGGTATATGCAGGTACTGAAGGGAACAGAATGTACCTCATTTCCTGCCATGCCATTATACCTGCGCCACAAAATCCAGATTTTGAACTTACTACATTCGAAATGGAAGTGGATGAGAACATGTAGGAAAACTTAATTCAAGGGAAATTAAATGGGGGGTTGTATACACATGATGGCTATTCAGAAATTAACCATCATTTATTTTAGGCAACTAAAAGCAGGAGAGAGCTCATGCATGCAAAAACCATCACATAACTGCTCACTTAGTTGTCACGTGTTGGGTATGTCACGCAACAAATAAATTCGCGTGGGTCTCGGATACAGCGAATCTTTATTGAACACTCACACTTGCACACTTTACAATTATCGCCACTTGCAGTATTAGAGTTACTGTAGCTCTCGGCGTCTAAATTCCAACTGTCTTCAGTGGCGGCTATCCCCAGACTGACTGTCTTCCGCGGCGGATATCCCAAGACTGACAGGTGACTGTATTGTGACAGGTGATGAAAGCTGGTTTCACCATTTTGAATATGAAATGAAATGGCAGACTATGGAATGGCACCATTTGCATAAGATAGCAAAGATAGTGCCGTCAGCTGCCATGGTGATGGGCACAGTCTTCTGGGATGCAAAGGGGTTTATTCTGGCCAAATTCCTGGAAACTGGGCCAACCATCAATGCTGCTCGTTATGTCCAGATGCTGCACAAGCTCCATCGTGCATTGCGCGATAAACGTCTGGCACGAAACATCATCATCCTGCATGACAACGCTCGCCCCCACGCTGCTCATCTCACATTGGAAGCAATTGCAAAGATGGGGTGGGAAGTTCTTCCGCACACCTTCTATAGCCCTGATCTGGCAACCTCTGACTACCATCTTTTCGGATTTATGAAGGATCAGCTGCATGGACAACGTTTTGAGACAAGGAAGGCAATTCAGAAAGCAGTGTGTCAGTGTCTTCAAATGGCTGGAACGGAATTTTACAGAAGGGGAATTTTCAAACTCCCAGAACGCTGGGAGAAATGTGTACAAAGAAGTGGCGATTATGTGGAAAAATAAAGAAAGGTCTGTAGATTGAGGTGGTGTATTTGGTTTGTCAATAATAAAGCATGTTACTTTACAAAAAATTGTTGCTCATGACTTTCAGTATGACCCTCGTAGAACAGCAGCAGCAGGTAAGAAAAACATACACAGGGCGTAAATAAATACATGTTACAATGCTCTGTGGTGGATAGATGGGTTCAATCTGATCACATTTTGTTAATACACCCATGCCAGGAAACGCTTCCTTTTGGCACTAAGAGTCACAAAAGTTCCTCAGAGGATACATAAGTTTTAGGGGATGTTATCATTGTTGTATATTATAAAAGTTGCTCAAAATGGCGGCCACCAACTTAACTGCATGTTCTACACCGCCTGGCCATGTTATGCTGAACTCTTTGAAAGATTCCCAGCATTTCCTGGATGGTTCCAGCTGCTACTGCAATTCTTGTGACAAGATCAAGTTGTGTCTCCACTGGAGTCTCATACACCGGGCTTTGCATGTATCCCCAGAGAAAGAAATTCGGTGGAATCAAGTAAGAAGAGCGAGGGGGCAAGGTTATTGGGCCTCCATGTCCGATCCATCTGTTTCCAAAGGTTTCATCCAAATACTCACGGATGACATTAGTGCAGTGTGCTGGGGTGTCATCATGCTGGAACCACATTTCATGGCAGACTTCCAAAGGCACCATTTGCAGCAGCTTGGTAAGGTCTCTTGGAGAAATGTTAAGTAAATATCACCAGTAAGCCACAGAGGTAAGTGATAAGGGCGTCCTCCTTCGAATTTTAGAGGCCCCAGCACGTACGCAAAGCGTTTCCAGACATGGGTGTATTAACAAAACATGATCAGATTGAACCCCTCTCTCTACCACTGAGCATTGTAACATATGTTTATTTACAGCCTGTATACGTAACCCCCCCCAAAAAAAAACATACACACACATATAATAACCTTTCTTTTATATATCAGACCATACAGGGGATAAATTCAACATCAACAGGAACACTCCCTGAATTCAGAAACCCGAGATGTAAGAGACAGTCGTCATAATAAGAACCTCCAAAGTTTTAATTCTAATTTTAATATTTAACAGACTAATATTTTAACATTAACTTAAATTTATTATATTTTAGTGTCCTGTTGCGCTGATTCACGTTCATGATGTGTATTTGTACCAACTGTCTTACAGTGCACATAATTTCACCTTTCTCTTCACTACATGTTTCGGCACTAATGTTCCATCTTCAGGTGTTTTATTTATTTATGTCAAACCATTCCACTGTATGCCATCATGTCTTCTTTATAAAATGATTAAATGTATATATGTCATGTATAATAATAAAGTTTATATATTAAAACTTTTCAAGATTTATCATCTATACGTCGCACTTCAAATTCGCGAGTTATGTCAATCCTCTCCTATGAGAGTACTCTTCCTATATTCTTGTGTATATTGTGTCATTCCCTTGTGACTGCGTGCATTGTATTGCTGGATATGTATGTGTGTG